AGTGTACGAAGTTGGTACTATCGAGCATAGCTCTTCGGCTGAGACGATGTTGGATGCCATCGCTAGTGCCAGCCCGGTAGCAGCGGCGATCAAGCCTGAACTCGTGCCGATGAATATCTTACAGAGTGGGGATTCGAGTTCAACAACGGTTGTTGCTTGATCAGTTATTAGGCGCAAGGCAAATTGAAGAATGGCCGATCGACCTGTTGGTGTTCGAACAACACTGTTTGGAATCAAGACTGTGAAGAGGTGGTATTGTCGTGATTGGCAAGCGATGGCATTTGGCACAAAACCATTCAACGACACGGAAGATCACGTACTATAACTATCCTGAAAACCATTCAACTAACTAAGATCACGTGTACCGTAATACTGGTGTTAAGTATCGCTAATTGTTACCAGTCCTTTTGGCCAATCACTCTGTTGAAAGAGCCCTGAGATTACGGTACGCATATTGTGCACAAGATCATCTGACGTGCAAACTCTGAGGGGAAATCTTGCGTACAAGCCGCTGAAACGGTGCAATGCATCACTATCAAGAGCAAAGTAAAAGACTCAGTCGTGGGTGGCCTGCTGCTTGGCGATTTTGTGCCAACATTTGGGCTCTGGTTATAAATCCGCAACGAGATATCGATGATTAAAAAACCTGCTCAGTCTCAACAGCTCATAGGTAGCCTCTGTCATCTATTTGTGAAAGCTGATGCTCACTTAGACCGCCTCAATAAGGTTAGACTTTTAAATCTTTCGCACGGAAGATTTCAGTATGCGTTCGCCGATCAAAATGCATTACGTGGTGATCCGCGAGTTTAATAAAAAGTTAATGGGAATTCGTGTCGCGATCCAGATTACCACATTTGACCGTGATGTGTAGATTGTAGGGATCTTCGACTGCACCGTGCGCCTGACATCGAAGCAGAAATAAGTTAGTAGTGCCCGTGTCTATTAGTTCATTAATATACTCAGTGTACCTCACAAGTAAATTAATAATATCCGTGGCTATTAGTTCAATAATACGCAGCTTCCATGAGTCAGGTGCACGGTGCAGTCGAAGATCCAACGACTTCATATTGCGAGCACTACAATGTACACGTCACGGCCAAACGTGGTAATCTGGATCGCGACACGAACTCCCACTATCCATAGGCTATCCAAGATTCTCGAAAATGTTGACTTTGGCCCTTATCATAGAAGTGATACAGCGTCACGACATCAATGATGCCGTGTCCCAACAAGGTGACTTCCGCTGAGTCACTTTGGAATCCGAACATGTAGTGATGACAACTTAAGGATTTCGTGCAATGAGTAATTCATTCAGTAATTCCTTTGAATTTACTCATTTCACGAAATTTAACAACCACCACAACTTCGGATATGAAATCGGAGACAAGAACTGTAGCATTTTCGCGGATGCTGTACAAATATACGAGACGACAAGGAGCCCTTGACTACATGCACGACGAAGCTCAAATCAAAAGTTTAGAGTTTGCGGACACGGCGCCTCACCTTGCAGTTGCTAGTTTGGGCAACAGGAGCCTCAGGCGTCACAGTCGGTGTCTCCGTCGGTGGGGCAGTGTTAGTCTCCGTGGTCTCGGTGGTCTCAGGTACGCTGCTTCCAGTATCCTGAGACTCGCTACTTCCGGTGACGTTGGGCGACGTAGTGTCGGGCTCATCCGTGGCGCTACCAGCGTCCTGAGTATCCTGGGAGGCGGTATCGTCCGTAGTCTGGGCCTCGCTACCATCAGTCATCCCGGAAGACGTCGTGTCCGTCGTCTGGGAGGCGCTGGCGTCCGTCGTCTGGGAGGCGCTGGCATCCGTCGTCTGCTCAGAACCACTGCTGTCCGTAGTCTGGGACGCCGTCGTCTGAGTCTGAGAGGACGTGGTGTCGGTGCCACCCTCTGCGATAGTGTTCATACCGAGCTTGTTGACGAAGTAGCCCTGGTCCCACAGCTTCTGGAAACCCGTCTCGAAGAATTTACCGGCGTCAGGTCCACCGTTGCACGTGCCATCGCTCTCTCCGGGCGGCTTGATCCACATAAAATAGTCCAAATTCGAGACGTTGGTCTCCGACGTGGGCGGAGCTCCGATACCTGCCGCGAGGACGTTGCACCAGTCCGTAGTTGTAGGCGCTCTGTTTTGTAAGAACAAAATGCAATGGTAAGTGCGTGATACAGGTATATCATTGGCAGAGCAGAACGTACACATAGTTTCGGCTGGTATCAGCAATGCAAGCCATATCCTTCGATCCTATGGCAGTTTGGAAGTTGGAGCACAGCTCGGAGATTTGAGAGGTAGAACGGTAGTTGGACGTGTTGATAGCGATACCCTTGAGAGTGCCAGACGCAGCAAGCTCCTTCATGATAGTCACCACCTTCGAGCGCTGCCCCTCGTACTCAAGAGTCCAGTAGCCAACATCCACGTACAGCTCGGCGTTGGCGTTCGCGGAAAGGGCCTTAATAGCCACTTTGAGGTTTTCGAGGTATCCAGCCTTGGAGCCACAGCCACCGTCTTCGGCGAGAAGACCAAGGGCATCCGGCTCCACAACATAGAGGACCTTCCGGTCACCGACAGCGGTTGTCAGATCCGACAGGAAGGCCTTGTAATCGGCGGTATTGGAGACGGCACCTCCAGACGAGTATCCGGCGTTACAGTCCTTGTTCGGAATACCATAGACAACGATAGTCATCCGTGAGTCTTCCGAGCACTTAGTAGTGATCTCTTTGAGCATCTTAGCTCTGTCGGTTGTCGATAGGCGATCCGTGTACCAGGCAGCAATGGAATACTCTTCCACGGCACTGATGGCGAACGCGACGTCAGGGTAGTCCGTCTTGGCTGTGGCGTACGATAAGGGGGCAATGGAGCACAACTCTTCGGCAACAGCGTTGATCGCATACATGCTCAGAGCAAGAGATGCCACTGCAGCGATCGAACGCAAGATCTGGACCATTGCGAGCAGTATACGACGAGTGAAACGAACTGCGTCCTGTGGAGCGCGGAATGGAGAATGAGCGATCTCGTAAAGGAAGTGCGGGCCAGTCTGGGCAGCAACAAGCCACACCGTACAGCGCAAAGCGATGACGAAACCAGCGGGAATCACGCAGGACTTGCACGTGCACCACGATCATCGTGGCACGATGTCACTTGTTCTGTCAACAAGTGGAAGAAACGGATCGTGTCTATTGTGTTCGTTCTCAAACAGTTGGAGTTTGTATGCCCGGGACCGAGTGACCGACAAAGCATTTGGGGTTATCGTGGATGGAACCAGATGCCGAGATCGTCTGCTGCAGTGGAACGGAAGAATGGCAAACAGGAGACGGATCAGGCTGTTGTTTACTACGTGCGCTGTTCGTAGCGCTTGCTCACCATAACTGGCCGCTGCGTACTGCAAACTATCCAACAGCACAGGATGCAAAACATATATTGATGAATCGATATGGTTGAGCTGAGTCTCTCGTCTTGCCAGAGACTGGAAGCACCGGTCGAATGAACGACTTCGCCTGGCGAAGTTCGCCAAATCCATCTTGAACAACTGCCCTGTCAAACAGCAGTCCCTGCTGTCAAATACTTAATAAGTAATAGAGCCTAAAATCAACTACTGAGTAGCCTATATATTTGAAAGTAACTTCTGCATCACCTGTTACAGATGTAACTCAATAAGCAGATGACTTTGAACTCAGCAAAGTCCTAATCTACACGACGAAATCCATGTACACCAGATGCATCGAAATGTGGTAAACACCGAAGTCCTAGAAAATTATGGGCTACCGTACACAGTGCTGCTCGGTGATCCAACTTGACTTGTGCTGACGCTAGATCTTCGATCGTGACTTTGGTGAGAGTGTGTTCTGCGTCGAGGGGCATTTCGAGTGCTTAGCTGCAAACGTGCTCTTTGGTTGTCCCTGTACTCTTCACGTTTTCTTTTTTTCGCTGCTTCAATTTCCTCACCTATCTCTACAAGCCGAGCATCATGGCGCAAATGAAATTCTCCTTCCTCACGACGTAAGGGGGCGCACCGTACACTGTAGTTCGTCAGAGCCACACAAAGCCTGAAGAATCGGTTGTAAGATCCTCTGTCCCAGGCCCACTGATGCGAAATAACCCCCCAACATGTCTTCATTCTCCCGAAAAGTTCTCGACGATAACTCGGTCGTGTGCGATCTTATCGTTTTCATCTCGCTCGCTTGGGGAAAGCGTCCGTTGACCTTTGGCTTTCTTTTTGGGCTGTATAGTTCGATACTCGTCTCCCAGACCTTGATACCCCTTGTCAACCAAAACACCCTAAAATTCTTCGAACTTGTCGACACCAGGGCCGTCATCGTAGAGAGTTCCTTCATCTTGTTGCTTTCGCAACGCTGACCTGTGGAATTCAGCGTTCCCGTTGAACATGGTAATGTCAGATACCGCGCCAGGCTCGAACGCAGTGCAATTAATTGCCACGCCTGTAGGGAGCACTGAAACCTCTACTTTATGACCGTATAGTCTGTGTTTTCCGCTGAAATACTTCATCACCTCGTGAAAGTTTCCAGTGGGGCGAACGGCGAGTTGGAACGTGACGTCAGTTGCGCCTCATGCCCTTTGACTAGGTGCGTGTACAAGAAGGGTTCGTACATGTCGATGTACTTCTTTATCATCTTTTGAAATGCCGAGGCATCCATGTCAAACATTGATGACACTGTTTCCCAGTTTCCACAATGCTTCAGCGCAGCTAGCATCATGAAAAGCACGTCCTTTGGGGATGTCTTGCACTTCTTGCCTCTTCCCACGCCCCATTTAGATAAGACATGATCTTCCAAAAGCTCCCATAGCCGTTCAAACTCAATGGGTGCGAAGTTGCACATTCTAAGCACACGATCGGGACCTTGTACGCGTAGACAGCGGTCATACACGGGAGAAGCGGTCGAAAACTCAGCGTCAGAATCGTCGTCTCGGTCTGCTGCAATCTCGATCCTATTCAGAGCTCGAGACCTAACATCCTCGGCTACAAATAACGCGTCCCAACGCGAGCGAGCATCCTCATCTTCGTCATCTTGTGTGCGTACTGTGCGATTTCTTGACGGAGCCATGGCGACAGTCCCTTCACTCGGTTAAATCGGAAATGAGGCTACTTTATTGGACTTCACTGACTAACCGGGAGAGTACAGGCTGCGGCGGAGGGTGTAATGCATACGCAATTTTCACATTGCAGCAGCCAGTTGTTGAGTAAAGTGGCGTTGCATCGTATTCTCTCGGCCATATGCTCAAATCAGATTGCGTACCGGTCGATCTGGATTGCGCTTGTGATACTGCTGGTTAGGCAGTATTACCACATTAGCTCTAATAATAAATAAGTACTCACTTTGAGTGAGATCCATCGCCTCCGGCGATGGTGCAGCGTGATCATTGCGATGCAAGTTTTGTGCCTTTTTGTGTGTCTGTTTTACATTTTTAAGTAAGTTATTCTTTTCTGCATGTACAGTATTACAGTGCGAACTGAACAATATTGTTAATAGGCACCAACGTTCAAACCAGTGCACTGTGACTTGATTGTCGATGGAGGAACATGCATCACGGAAAGGTTTAAGTAGCGATTCTATAACTGCAGGATATTGTTAGCAAGAGTAAGTTAGAAGTGACAAATATTTAATTTGACGATAGAGCTTTGCATAAGGGAAAATGCCAATTCGTGGCCGTTTGAAACAGTCTTTCCAGTTTTACTTGTATGTTTTGTTCTAAGACAAACAAACCGGCACCAAGGATACCAATCATTTTGTCATTTTTCTTAAACATCTAGCTAATGCATAAAACACAATAGATCTGATTAAAAAATATATATCAAGAATGATGGTCTGCCAATTAGGGGCCGCTTCAATAAACTTGATGTCAACAAGAGATTTGGCCTTGTCATTTATATGGTACCTTATAACTGACCAATCAAAACTACTAAATACAATACTAGAGTCTTTCATTGGCCAAACGTCCGGCCCCTAATTGGCAATCCGGCCCACTCAAGAGTATTTGGAAGCAAGGTTTTGCATAAAAACTGGAGGTTAGCGTGCTCACATATGTAGCGCCTGATGCTGAACATATATCTGGTGCACGGAACGCTGGCGACCTCCTCGAAGGTGATGATGGCGGGCTTGTGTGCCCTAATTGTTCGTAGATTGCTACAAACTCGGCGAACGTGCCGAAATTGGAATACGGCGCCATGGCGAAGACGGTGTCGCCCACCTTGAACTGATGCGTATCGGCGCCGGTCTCGATAACGGCTCCGACGACGTCGAACCCCATGTCAAAAAGTTTGCCAGCGGAGGGTTGACGTCCGGTGACGGCGATTCCGAAGTTGCGTTATCTTCTGATCAGGGAGCTTAGAGCCGCACTATCAAGGCTCCTCAATATGCAATGCCAATGTATTTAGTCCTAACAAAGCAATGAAATAATCATTCAATTACGCAGTCTCTAGTTACGCATTTTGCGCCGAATCGCTTGAACACTACCTAATCCCACGCATCTCAATTGTAGAAAAGAAGCATCAGCACTTCCAGCGTGTTTACATCCACGCTTTTACGCATATCCGTGTACAACAGCTTCGCCTGAGAGAAAAATCTATCGCACTCATTAGACGTAGGAGGTATCCACGACACAGACATGTACGTAGCACGCGCTGGCGTCGCTTTCTGAAAGACGGGCCCCGAAACGAGCATGTCGTCTCTTCAGTTGATGGCGCAGCAGGTGAGTCCTTAAAACCTTTGCAGGCATCCTGCTCGCGCGAGGACAGACTACCCCCAATAATGATCTTGGTGATGCCAGTCTTCATCGCTGGGTAGTTAACTACCGCAGAATCAGACGTCAATATTCCCTTCATTGCCGGTTATTGGCGCGAGACCCAGTCAAAAGCGCGCCGTACCCTTATTAGCGTCAATGTGAGGTCCTGCAAAGCCTTCGTGACTTCCTGGAAGTCGTACAGCGTCGACAGCAGCTCCGTCGCTTGGGCAGTCTCTCTCTCCGATAGCATGAAGAGCGCGATACCATGCGTAGAGATTGTCGCGTGGTCCATTGGTTGCAGTGCGCGATGTGGCTTAGTGTAGTGATCCACCATGCTGAACACGCTTGACCAACGCGTCGCGTTGCGCACAGCAGGCGCCAGCGGCGTAACCTTTCTTAACACAGCTCGACACTTGATAGTGCTCAAATGTTTCATCAGTGCATGTATTTTGGCCAATAGCGTCTCTTCATTGGCCAAAACGTCATTCACAGCCAGCTGAAAACGGTGACTAGCACAACCAATAAAAGGCAGTACATCCAATTTTCGACCAATCGCCTGATTCACCGAACAATTATCGCCAATCATGAAGAGGACCGATTCCCATGGTCTGTTGAAGGTGGACAGCGTGTCCGCTATGAGGTCAAACAGACTCTGAGCTCTTTAGTCTTCTTCGTCTCCAAAGGGACAGAATACCAGTTGCACGAAGTGGCGTGTAATGCACTGAATGCTCTCGTCGTAGTTAGGATTTCGCTCCTTTAGTTGCAAGACCGCTGGGTCATCAAAAACCGCCATGGTGGCGATGAAGTGGCGGCCACCACTAGACCACCCCAAGCTTCTCAGGAATCTTGAGAGCAATGTCGTCTGGGACGTAGGTATAGAGAAGATCAATGTACTTCAGCAGCGTCGCACCCGAAATCGGCTCCATCTTGGCGTTCTTACGAACGAGAGGACGCTCGCAGAAACTCACGGGCATGCGGTCCATGACGCACCACTCAATCTAGCGGAACACGTCACTAGTCCGCTGGTCTGGCAGCGTGAGCCCAAAGCGGTTGCCCTTGCGGTAGGCAGCCACAGCTAGCTCTTGGTAGTCAGGATGACGCTTCAGGAGACGATAAACTTGCTTAGTGTAGCCATTACCGCTCTTGTATACCTTTTGACAGGTGTTGCAGCGGGCCTGGTTAGGTGCGAGCTCAGTGAAGAGCAAAGAATAGAGATCCTTGTTTAAAAACTTCATGGTGGGCGTTGTTGGAGTTAAGGGGCTTTAGAAGAGTGCTGAATAGAGCAAATGCGCAAGTGAGAGAAGTGTGGAGCTAGCAACAAGTTCAAGAGAACCACGGATTCTCAGCCAGACCTTTATGGTTGGTAGAGAGTGATACTATAATTTTTCACAAAAATGGCAAAAAATGCCAAAATATAGGTAATATATAAAAATGCCAAAATATAGGTGATTCCTCTGAATAATAATTCCCTTGTGAATACGATAATGTTTTTAAAATTATATGCTCAAGTGGGGAGGCCTGCGCACTGCGTCTTGTTGTGTAAGTGCGTGGGCTCGAACGAAGTCATGGCGACGTCGTTAGAGAGGTGGTTCTCGGGATTTAATGTGCCGAAGCTAGTAGCTGTGATAGACAGTGGGGAGAGGGGGGGGGTTCTTGTGAAGCCGATGATTGGGGCCGTCACGATAAGACGTCGCCATGACTCCGTCCGAGCCCACGGTTGTTTGTTCATCTGTAGAAATGGAGGCCTACAGTCTGGTGCAAAATTATAGCCGCACCCGAAAATTTTATAGATTGAGATGAAGAAGTTATTTTCGGAGTTGTTTATGGTCTTTGTTCTAACGTGTATGATGGTATACAGTAATATGCCGCTGAATTTTGCAGAAGAAAGTTGCATTCTGAAGATACACGAAAAAAAGCTTTTTTTGGACTGGTGCAAAATTATAGCCGCACTACCTTCACTTCAAACTAGTAGTCAATAGGGGCCCTTCGACGCAGCACTACTTGAACAATCCGCGTTGGCATGCTCTTGACAAGCGTTCGAATGTAATCCTGAGGGATTTCTTTCCAGCATTTCTGGATACGTTGCTTCAACTCAGATGCTGTGTCAAATTGACGCCCTCCGGCGTATACTCGGCGGGCTAGCACACCCCAAACGTTCTCTATAATGTTCAAATCGGGACTTTTAGCTGGCCATACCATGGTAGACACCTCTTCATCCCGAAGGAAGTCCTGGGTCCGGCGTGCTGAGTGCATGGAAGCATTATCATGCTGGAAAATAGGTCTCAACACGCCCTGTCCGGCGTGAAGGTTTTCGAGATAGGGAAGCAGACTACCACCAAGCGTCTGTGTGTAAGCGTCAGAGTTTTGCCGCCCCTCCAACACCACAAGCTCCGTTTTCCCGTGCCAGCTAACGCCGGCCCAAATCATGACGCTTCCCCCGCCACCTACACGCTTAGAAAAGAGTTCGGGGTCTTG